TATTTTTGTTTAATTATTCCCTCCCAGAAAAGATTTTTCCTCTTACCCTTAGTTCCAAGGTCTTTCTGTCTGATTTATCTTCTATTTTCAGGATTCAATGAAGCATAAAAACAATGTTAGTCTTTGGTGGCCAGGGAAAAGGAGGAAAGCTCGTGGTGGTCTCCAGATGATCTGGCCCTGATTGAAGCAATCTCCTTCCACAAGGAGGGAGCAAAGGGCTGGCAAGTGCAGGTAAAGCTGCCTGCACTCCATGTGCTAAGAAATCACCCACACAAACACATTCCAGCTTTGGCAGTGCTCAAGCAATGGCTATTTACTGCTCCAGGGAGGAAATAATTAAAGCCATTTCTTGACTCTGACAGTTTGATACTGGTGGTTTTCAATAGCAAATTACCAACATCTGTACAGCAAAATTCAGCTACTGCAGCAATTATTCAGCAGGGCTAACCACAGAGGTGCTAGGAATTTTTCATTTTCTAGATGTCCCCTTGTTAGGTGTGACCTGCAATTGAGACCCAAGCTCCACAAGATGGCAAACTTAGAAATGTAAACGAAACCATCTGGAAAGCTGAATATTCTGTGAAAACCCCAGTGGCAAACGCATCAAAGCCAGAAAATGAAAAACTGGAAAAACAGCTGAATGGCTTTCTTAATTATGTGACAATTTCAAGTTTCCAGAGCAATTCAGAAGTAAAATTTATACAAATTATTAGATTCCACAAAAATTAGGGCTTTTCATTCTCACATACTGTTACAACTGTTTTGCATAGTAAACACAATGAGTGTGACTGTACAAGCTGAAAACTCACATCTACAACCTGTAGCAAGCAGCACAGCACTGCAGATTTTCATTGCTGATGAAAGAAAGCAGAACTAAATAAGCTCTATATATCCCTAAGTCAAATATTTATTTTTAAATATTAGCTAGAAAAGGTAATGCAAATACAATCAGAGGCTGTGAGATTAAATGTGTTTCTAGGAGAGATCTGATCTGGGATTGATAATAAAAATGCCTTATTTCACTGCTTACGTGGTAAATACTTGTTTGTCAGGGGTTTTTGTTATAATCCACTTTGATCATGGTTTACTGATATATAAAACTTGAGTTTAGTTTGTAAATTGGCACTCTGTCTTCTGTTTCACTGTTACTGAAGCTGCAGGACCCCATCAAGGTGTAGTGTAATTTGCTGTAAAAGTAGGCAGTAATTTGAAAGTAGAGCTTCAGACTTGAGCAATCTTTGGAGTGGCCTGGTGGGGAATAAAAATAGATTGTGCACCTATCAGGTGATAACTGAGAGGCTTTAAAATAGATTAGTCTTCATGGCCCATGTCATCTAGTTAGGCTGTGGCAAAAAAAATCACCTATAGACATGGGACAATTAAAGCTTTGCTTCCCTTTAGAGAAGAGAGAAACTTGCTTGAAGTGATAGGAATTCGGAGCAAGTTCCTCAGAGTTAGATCAATTTAATTTAGATATTGATATGCAAGTGCCAGTCAACTTAATAATACCTTTAATTGATTGCTACACAGTTATACTTTGGAGTTGATAAGGAAGATCTTCCTGTAATGATATTTTATCATAACTATCATACAGCAATTTCCAGGCCTCATTGCAAGCTGTGTTGTGCAGGTTATGGTCAGATTTAATCAGTATCTATCAGCTTCAAATCCAAACTTCAGGAAATGAAGGTCACGACATGGCTTGTGGCAGTACAAAACTCAAGTTCTATGCAGAGGAATTAAGTGCAAACTAAATAGGCTGGGAAATATTTGTATAGTTTTGAAAAGGAAGAGATTCTGCATCAATCAGATGCATGTTATAGAGGAGAAAATAGCTCAGCGAGTGTTTTCTTTTCACTCTTAATCTTCATTTGCCATGAATGTGGACAGGCCGAGGCAAGGTATTATATTCACATCAGCAATGCCTTCAGACACTGTGATGACTTATTGCAGTGAGACCCACATGAATCAATATTGACTGGCCACTTACTTTAAAGCTACTTAATTAAACCTAACAGGATGGCACAGCTTCCAGGCAAACCCACATCACTGTGATTTATGAGTGTGCTGGGGAGAAAGTGGGAAGGACACAGTGTAACAGTTCTCTTTACTCTGCAATTGAGATTTTTTGTGTAAGGTGAAATTAAAGAGTTTAAAAAGAGGAGCTGAATGAATGCAATAAATAAACTAAAAGGGCTGTTTTGTCATTATCTAGACTGTTAGAGAGGACTTCTGGCTTTTTTCCAGGGTACCTGACTGTCTTACTGCATACTGGTATCATCCAGGGCATCCAACATGAGGCTCTCTAATGTTAGTGATGAAATAAAATTACTTCCCTTTTACTGGGGTTGGAGTGAGCAGAAGTGGCATCACTGTTCTGTCAGGTTGGTCTTTTGTATTTCTACCAAATGTATTTAGTTCCACATATTCATCAAAATAGAGTGTTTATTTACGGTATCTACATCTGGGAGAATCTGAAATATGGGTTTTTTTACTAGAAATCTCCATCTCTTGATGCTTGGAGAGCAGTAATTTATTTCTTTATTCTATCAAGATGATTTAGGCAACAAGTTGTTTTTTATGTGACAGCCTTGTGTATTATGTGTTTTTGTTTGACCAGAGATGCAGAGAATACCTTGTGTCACTAACAAAACCCTGGGGCTTTGTACCTCCAGATATTTCTGTTTCTCAGTGGCCAGTGAGGAGGAAAAGTAAGAGAACTCTCGCAGATTGAAATGCCATAAGGAATTGTTTCTCATCTGCTTGTATTTACACAAAAATAAATAGATAGAATTATGCCTTTAAAAGTTCAAGCCTTTGAATTGTGCTTAGCAGGCATAAGTCAAGAAGTCACTTGCAACACAACTGGGTTTGTTTTTTATCAGCACTTTCAATATCCTGAATCTCTGCTTGCTATTGCAAACAGTTTGGTGAGGGAGCAGCTGAGATGCCAGAGGACAATGTATTGCTCTCTGAGGGAAAAGTCTTGGAAATCGTTAAGATAAAGGCAAGAATAGCTTAGAGAAGTGTGATTTAGGCAGTGAATTGGTTTTTTTAAATATTTCCCCCACAGCCAGAAATAAGCTTTAGGAATTTTTTTTTTTTTTTTTTTTACATCTGATACCAGAAGTAACCAATCTTTTTTTGTTTCCTTATTGTACTAAATGATAGTTTGTATTTTCTGAGCATTCTAAATAAAGCTAGACAACTCCATTGTTTTAGAGAACTTTACTGATAAACTTTTAATTGAAGTAATGCACTTGGCTGAAATCATCCACTCTATTTTAGTTCTTTACTAAAGTGCCAGGTGTATCAATTTTCAAAGACTGGCAGGCATCAGTTCTCTGTGTTCAAAAGATTGGATTTTTGAAGGTTTTGAACCTTAGAAGTTACAGAACTTGCAGCTTCAGGTATTTCATCTTGAAGTTGTGTCAGAAGTCTGAAAAATTATGCTTTGGTTCTTGAGTTACATGTAAGATACCATAGAGTTCTGCCGAGAAACATGTATTTGTAAGGATTTCTTATGAATGAAAAGGATTTTATTGAATGTAGAGCTCCTTCAACTATTTGCTTTCTCATTCTTACTCTTCACTCATTTTCTTCATCATGTTTATGGCATGAGTGTTAAGATTCTTTGAAGGACAATGTCTCTGACATCTCAGGAAAGTTTTCTTTTGAAAACTTTTTCTTCTCAGAACTTGTCTTTACCTGGGATTTCAGGAAAGACCATGGTACAGCTGAGCTTATAAGAAAAACCCTTCAAAGAGGACTGCATGTTGCTCCTTGCAACCTGCATTAGTGCTGGAAGAGTGTCTGTGCTTTCCCAAGCATTTACATGGAGATTTAACTGGGCAGGAGCCCCTGGACTTTTGTGTGGGCGAGAGAATTGCTGTCTTGTGATGTAGTGTTAACACACACAGCACTCATAAACTGCAGGACTTGCTGGGATGTATCCCTCTCCTATTAAAAAATATATAGAGATATGAAGTAATATTTCTCTCCACTGCCATCTAGTGAAGTTATTATGCTCTGTAAAGGCTTTGAGACTCAGCTGAGCATTCTGGTAAGGAACTGTATCTTGGTAGCACAGAAAGTCCATTTGCCTCCAGAGAGTCTGGTATTCATTCCTGGGATAACAGCAAACACTACAAAATAAAGGAGATACAATAAATTATATAATAGAATTCTGCAGTGGCTATGATGATAGAGACACTGAAAGGATTTGTGCAAGTTGTCATCATTGCAGAAGTGATTTGCAGCACCTAGATTCGAGTTGTAAAGAAAGCAAGCACCAAAAACCTCTGCAGGCAGGTGGAATGGTGCAAAATCAGGCATTTTTTTGTAGAAAGAACACAGGTTCCCTGGGACTCCAGATCTGGTGCCTCCAGTCTGTATCTTCAGGCCTGCAGAGTGATGCCCACCAAAATCCTTAGTGGATTTTCAGCCTTTAATGTCACTTCTTAAAAAGAAATTTTTTGAGTTTTTCAGCAATGCCCATGTTGGTTTGGGCCATGCATGAAGGGTGTTCTCTGACACCAGTGCTGGGATGGGTACCAAAGGGGGCTCATGCTGTGAGCACACTACACCTCTCCATTTCTGTTCAGCTCAGCAATTGATTTTGCTTAAAGATCCTTGGCTATTTTTGTAACACACAAGTAGGTCAGCCCATCGCTTCCTGGTAGTGGAAATAGCTAAAATAGGAGATACAGATCTGAAATCATTATTCTCTTCATGTATCATTTAGTGGGCAAAATCTCTATTCTAATACTCATGTGAAGCCATATTAAAATCAGCTGTTCCCAGTGCAAGAGACTGAAATGAAGTTGAGAAAAGACATAATAATAGTATGATTTAGAGGAAGAAAAAAAATAAAGTGCAAACCCGATCCCTTTGATGGCTGAAATGTGTATTTTCACTGCCATAGCTGAGCAGTATCTCTGCACTCTGATTCATTTGCCATCTTTCCACTTCACTTTCACAGGCACGATGGAACAGCCCAAATTCCATCTGATCTGTAAACCTGTGCACTTCCCTCTGTAGCTGTAGTAGCAGTGTGCTGGTTTGCTTGTCTGTTTTTCACTTTCCTTCTGCCAGGTTTAGCATAGAATCTATTGGGCAGCATTTAAAGGCAAATGATGTATCTCTCAGCTCTACCTGAATTATACATTACCTTTGAACAGAAATGAAAGGTGAGTTTATGTTTTGATTTGGGGTTTCCTGCTAAAGTTTGTGCTTCCAGGTGGGAACTGTACATGTACAGACATGCTTTATTTTCTAAAGTTTTATTAAGAAAGTAAAACAAACTGGTCATCTGGCAAATAAGAGACAAATGCAGGGTGGAGTAAGTTTTTTTATTATTATTATTTATTTTGTAGCTAAGCATTTTTAAGGTCTTTAATTGAATTGTGTAATAAATTGTAAATTACATAACAAAATTTCTTAACCCTGTTTGCTAAAATGTAAGAGAGATTCAGGAACCTTTGAAAAATCTGAAGCTTGGAATTCTGAATGAGTTTGTTCTAGTCGGTAATTGGAGCCATGTTTAAAGAAAAGGAAAATCCTTTATTTTACTGAAGAAAGGATAAATAGGATTGAATTGTAGCCACTACCCCCCAACCAAGCTGAGTGATTGAGAGAGTTGTTGTTTTACCTGTCTCTTGAGGCAATTAATAAATCTTAAATAATAAGTAAATCTTCTAAATAATCTTAAATCACAGTCTGCCCAGGCATATTTACAGAGTGCCAGGGCAGCAAGACAATGACCATGCTGCTAATTATAAGTAAGCAAACAGTTTGGTTCATTGGCCACTTCAGCACTAACCTTTTTTTTTTTTTTTTCATTTCCAGCCAATTTGCATTTAAGCTTCTTTGTTCAAGGAGTCGTCTTCTTAAATTAAAAGCAATGACATTTGAACACTTAATTGCATAGTGCCATAATACTTATACTTCATTTTTATTGAAAAATAAAAAAAAAAACCAACCTCAATTCTAAGTAGAAAAATTCAAACAGTACATTTTTCTTTACTTAGGTTTTCGCTCCAAGTGTTGCAAGAAGATGTCATGGAAAGAATATGGTTCCTAAGCAGCCCTGTTATCAATAAGCAGCTAAGGAAGTACATTAGGAACTTAGAGATATTAAATGCATCAGGAAGAAGAAAAAAATTTAATTACTGTGGTCTTTTCAACCAGAATTTTAATTCATGGTTTTGCCATTACCAGGTAAGGCTGTAGTATTTTAAAGTTCTCTTTTGTTCTTTCCATGATTGTTTGTGTTGGACCTCACAGATTCCAAGCTTTTTGTATTTTCCCAAAACCATCAGAGCTTGTGGATATCCTAGTGGGATGTAAATTGCCTTGATGTCCCAGGGTCAAAAGCAGCATGGCAGATGTAATGACATATTCCCTTTGGAAAAGCAACAAGAAAAAAAAGCTACAGGGGTGCCCAGCCACTCAGAGCACGTTGGTGATGGATTGGGAGCAACAGAGGAGGGATAATCCAGGGCAGTTTGTTGAGAAACAGGAAGGTTGAAGATGGATGACATCCCTAGTTTTTCACAGTGCTCCTTCCACATATACTATTAAATCCAGACTGGAAAGTAAGGTAAAATACTGTAGCATGTGCTGAATGTGGCTTTGCACTGACTTCCAGTGCTGTCATCATTGCAGTATTGTTTTTAATTCTATCCTGTAAAAATGTTGTGTTGAAAAGATAAATCAAATAAATCAGGTATATGAATATGCAGGACTACTGCAGTTGGATTTGATAAAGCAATACAAAAGTTTCTCATTGTGCCAGCAGGTTGAAGACTGTCCTATTTCCACAAGAGAAAAAAAAGGTTATAAAGAATGGGGCCTCAAGAGTAGCCTTTAAATAGTTTTCCAGTAAAAAATACATGGATTTTACTTCTAGTCCAGAATAACATGTAGTATCTGCAGAAATAGCTTGTTTTGTCAAACAGAGATATCAAAAGAGGTTTTTGTTGTCAAGTTGTTGGTTTGATTTTTCTTAGAAGTCATCCTGGCTGTTATATCCTCTTTTCCTGTTTTCCAATCAGGTAGTAATTGCATTCCACCTTCTACACAGGGTTTCCATTTCATGTTGAAATGGTGTACATGAAAATAAAAACACTAGGGGAAGGAAGAAAGGTCTAAGTTACAAACACTGAAGGTGATGCTGTCACAGAGTCAGGCCCAATGTCCAACTCATATCCTAAAACCACCAAGAGTTAATACTTGGGAAGAGTATAAGTATTCCCAAGCAAATAGTGGTAAAAGGAAAGACTTCTAGGGAAACTTATTTGCAGTCTACCTGTCTTAGCCTCTCTTGATGGACATTACTTAAAGTCATAACAATCACTTCATATTTATAGAGAAGAGCAGACCTCGTCAGCCATATATTGCTGTGAAAATTTATTTACAGTTTTAATTTTCTTTCCATTTGCTGAAAGAGTAGAATGATTAAGTAAAATCTTTTGAAAAAACAAAATAGTATTTTTTCCAAGGAGAAGGCATAGAGATATTGCTTATAAGACTGCATTCCTTTGATGTCAGGCCTCACGCTGCATAAACTTCATGAACCCATCATTAGTCCTTGTCAGCTCTTAGGGTCTTTTGGCTTGGGGCCAAACCATTGATACAGTGGAGAGCTTCCAGCTAAAATAACAGCCTCTGCATCTTTATCTTCCCATCCATCAGATTGTTGGTGGAAGATAGGGCTAATTTGTCACTCTACCCACTTGGAAAAGTTTGATAAATGACTTAATTAGATTTTTTTTTTTTTTTAAGAAATCACATTTCTTGCAAACTAGAGGTTGGGAAAACAAGGGCTAAGGATTGAATTAGGAAAGGAAAATATTTTTTCTTCAGTACAGATCAGAGGAAACATAATCATATAATCAGGAGAAGTGTAGAGAATAAAGTTGTTTGGAAGGATTTTCATAGACAAAAAAATCCCAAACTACCCTAACGCACAAATGATCTGTGGGCTGTTCATCTGCCCAAAGACTATGGCAGACTAGTACCTACAGAAACATTCACCTGCAGAGTGTCTTTTAAAATATGCTGCCCCTAAAATAGCAACACTTTTCTGTTTAGAGCTCTAGAAAAGATAGCCAGGCAGCCTTGTAGCTAAATGAACATCTAAATAGAGAATTAACTGCAGCCTTGTAGCTAAATGAACATCTAAATAGAGAATTAACTAACTCCTGTCTTCCAGCAGGCTATCGATACCCAAGGGAGCTGTGCTTTCCAGGAGGCTCCTGGGGTTAGTGCCTACCCCACCCAAAGCCAGGACTTTGCTTCAACTCTCATCCAACACATTTGGGATAAAAAAATGGCTGCTCCAAGGCCATGGATCAAGGACTGAGCAAGTCCAGGTCACAGTTTTGAATGTTCCTACTCAGGATATGGTACAGGTAAGGATATTTGCATCTTCTTCTTTTCTTGAGATAATTTTATGATTTATGAGTCAAGTAACCTACATGGATTAAAATCATTGGTTTTGATGTTTTTCAAACTTGAAGCCAGAAAAGGTGAGAGAAGCTGAGTAAAATTCTTCTCTTAACTGTTGTTTCCACCGCTGTGTTTGGATAATTATCCTTCCACTTTGTGTAATTATGACATGTATTCCTACATGTGTATGTGTTGGTGACAGCTCACAATCTTAACGTTAGAGATGTCTGGGCTTTGTATTTCTAAGCATCTCTTTATTTAACTATTTCATTTGGAAGAATATATTTTCCTTTCTCTCGTCTGACATAAATGAATAAAGCAAGAGACAAACTGCATCCTCCTTTTTTTATATAGACTGTCCAAAAATTGGATGTAATTCAGAAATAATTTAAAAACTCTTTAACCTCTGGGCAGAAATTTATAATAGTAAGGAAAAAAGAAACATTTTTCAATTAAAAAGATTTAGAATCCCTTTCTGTGCAGAACACTAATCTGCAATGACACTGAGGAGTAATAGGCCTGGTGTTAGTGCTTCCCCAAGGAAATGTCTTATCTTTTGCACTAAATTAATTGTGTTTTTCTCACGTGTTCTAGCTGTGTGCTTTTGGGTTTTGTGTGTGGGGGCTCTTGTTTTTTAGTTTTTGTGAGGAGAGGGGCAACACAAGTGTTTTTACACTATTGTGCTCTTATGCCCCACTCTCCATGACCCATTCTGAAGAGGGCTAGCCATTAACATTAAATCATTCCTATTCCTGGGAAAGTCACAGGGGCAAGTTGTGGGAGCAGCCTCTGTGTGGGTCAAGTCCTGGAGGCATGCTGTGCAAGAGCACTGCAGCAAAATCCAGGAAAACGTAGGAATGGGTTGGGAAAACATGGAGGTCTGGCAAGGACACCATTGCAGAGTTCTGCTATCCAGCCTTCCAGCACAGTTACAATCAGAAATGGTCCCTCCTGACTCCTTGGTGGCTTCTCCAACAACAAATCATCCCAGTGCGAATGGTACCTGAGAAGGGTGCTGTCCCTCCATGCCAAGGTGGCAGAAATGGGACCTTAGTGACCCAGTGCTGGCTGGTGAGCTCCTGGCCAGGCAGGATGGAGCAGGAGCTCTTGTAATGGCAGGGGGTGGTGGAGCTGCTCCATCCCACCTGGCAGAGCATGCTGGGGGCATGGCTTCTTGGAAGTGTGAGTTCAGACACCTCACAAGGACTGGGACCTGGGGTTTGGTACCTTCCCTGCAGTAGTTTGTGAGTTGCTGACAAGTCCCCAGAAGCCTTGTCAGGGCTCTCTTGGCTTGTTCTCCATTGCTGCCTTCACCCAGGCAGGAGGGCTGTCCTGGCCCCCAGCTCAGCAGATGTTTGCAGAGTCACTGTTGCAGAAAGTGCCCCTCTGCTGTTCTGCATCACCCTGCTGCTGGTATCAGTTGCCAAGTGGCCTCTGTTGATGTTGGGAGATCAGAGCTCTAAGGCTGTGCTTGTCACTGTGGGACATCTTTAATATAACAGGGGAAAAAAAGGAGGTACAAAGGCATCTATGCTTCCACGAGCTGTTTAGTGGACCAGCTGGACCAGCTGCTCTGGTGAAGCTGTTCATGGACAGGATCTGCTCCCAGGACAGGAATTACCCAGATCCCTAATGAAGTGAAAAGAAATTGTATTTACAGCTTCAGATCTTCACTAGGAAATCTGATTTATCTAATTGTAGATCTAAAAGTTCAGTAAAGTGGCTGCACACTGGGACATGGAAAGTGCATTTACAGGATTATTATTTGCATTGAAGAGATATCAAGCATTTTCTTCTGTATAAAGAAATGTCTTGGACATGAGGAAGAAAAGGAATATGTTAATCCCTGTGTTACTGATTTGCTATTTTAAAGTAAGTGAATATATCCAATATGTTTTTCTTTATTTTAAAAGTAAGAACTGTCAGGAATAAACTCTCTAAGTCTAGAGTAATTCTTTTTGATTTAGAGCCAGTTGTGGTTATTAATGTATTAAATTAATTCAATATGTTTTGAATTGCTTTGCCACTTGGTTTATTTGGAAACTAAAACCATTTGTAACAAAATAGACTAGTTCTAAGTCAGACCAGTGTATAAGAGCATGTAAAACTAACAGTGCACTTCAGACAATCAAAAACAATCTTCTGGACTAGATAAAGGACAATTATTAGAAACCAAAACTAAAACCCTTCAGGTACTTGGAAAAGAAAAATAATTATTTACACTTTCATCTTACAATTTGTAATTAAAAAAAAAAAAACCCAAGTCAATTGAAAGGAAACTCAAGGGTCAGGATGAGATTTCTGCACACACTGAGGAGCCAGGAGAACTGGCAAGAGTGGACTGGAACTAACTTGAAGTTTTGCTGCAAGTCTGCTGTAAATCCAGACATAGATACAGTTTTCAGCCTGCCTAAATGTGTGTGGTAGGTGATCTCACAAGGTGTTGCTTTATTTATGGATTAGATGGTTCCCAAGAATTGAGGGAGATAAACTTGGTTTCTTCAAGCTGTTGGTGTCCTTTTTTTTTCCCAGTGGTTTACTACACATAGAACAGGCTCAGATACTTTTTTACAGGCATACTTTTAATACCTTTTGCAAAATGATTGTAGATTTGCCATCAATTTGCTTGTTTATACATGTGACTTTAGAAGAACCTGTTACATTTAATAAATAATAGAGATTGATAAATAGCTCCTAACCTGTGCAAATCACTGTGCAGAAATCATTTCTGGCAGTTTCTCCTAAGACATGAAATGAAGCATACTTTCAATACTTTACCTTACAGTAGACTGAGTTTTATTCAAACCAAAGTCTTGAGAGTTTTATTTAGAGCCTGAGCTGAAGTCTTTACTCTTAAACTGTTCATAAAATGCTCAGAAAAACTGAGTTTTCAATACAGGTGTTCAAAATGATGCCTTCATTTTTATCCAGTGGAAAAGGTTAGACAAAACAGAAGTAAAAGGTCAGATTTACTGAAGTGTAAAAACCTGTACAAATGGATCCCATGTGGAGTTCAGTCATGAGCAAGGGTTTCAGGACTTGGTCATAGGGATGACCTGTGGGTTGCTTAGCCATGGACCAGACCTACTCTTCTGGGAAGAGTAGGTGGAACCTACCCTGAAATGGAAAAATTGCCAACCTTCCACCCACTCATGGCACAATGATCTTTGAACATCAGTTTTAATTACAGACAGCTCTAGCATCAGGATGTGTCAGATAAATGGGAATTTTGTCTAAATATGTGTGCATTGTTAATGGTTTGATCATTCAGCTGTTGTCAGAGGGGAGAAAAACAACAAAGTGACTATTCAAAAACTTCAGTGCTTTATTGTCCCTCCAGTGAGTGTGACAGTAACAGATCTTGTAGTTCCTCTGGCCTAATCTACTGACCAATGGATAGAATTTCTGCCTGAAATATCTAGCCCACTACATATTATAATAAATTAACTACAGTTTCCTTTCAATACAGATTCCAGTTGTCCCTGGACTCACTAAGAATGTGAGAGGGAAACACGGTGATGAGGGGCTATAAACACAAGGGCCAGGACATAAAGCAGAGGATATGTATGTACTCAAAATGGTTTATGTATGTTTGCTTTGATCTTTAAATGTAAACCTAATGCTTATCACAAGTTAGTGATTGCTTGCCAGAGCCAGATTTGCCTTGCACTGTAGCATCAAACTTGAGGCAATGAAAGCAGCACGAGAAACAGCTTGGCAGAATGAAAAATAGCTTCCAAGCTGTTAGTGCCTTGGACTTTCTTGGCTTTTCTTTGCCTGTAGAACCATAGGTGAACATATATCATCCTTTTAAATTTCTTTGATAAATCTCATCCTCTTTAGGATTAAACATTCCTGAACATTTTTATGCCTCAGTGAGCTCTTTCAGAGAAACAAAAATTAATTCTTTATCTCAACATTTATACTCATAAGACTTAATTCCCCTTGACTGTAGTTATTGTAGCCATGCCCATTCGTACAGAGTGACCACACTGTTACTCTCCTGTCTGCTTTGTGCACTTAGATTTTATGCACAGAGATTTTATGGGGCTCTGACCAGTGGGAAATCACTCAGTAGTGTTTTGCAGGGGTGAGCTGGATGGGTAGATGTCAAACATGGATTTTGGATGCCAAGCCAGGACACTCCTGTGCATTCTGTGTGTGCAAAATCAGGCTTAACCACTAAGCTGAACACATAGAGACAAGAGTTACATTTCATAAATACTCAAATATTTGCAAAATCATTATTGGCACAATGTGACTCAGCTCTCCTGAAGGAATTGGGCCACCTGATTTATACCTTTGGGGGAATCTGGCAAAGGTGACCAGGGACACAGCAGATGGGGTTTTGAGTGGCTACCCTATGGCTCACTGGAAGGATATCTTTACTAGCCACAGTCCTTTTGGTTATCTGGCCCTCAGTCCTTTCAAAACAATTTCTTAAGGTGCCTGAGGTAAAAAAGTAAGAATTTTGTGAACAGCTCAGGTTTCATATAATGAGAGTTTGCTGTGAGATGGCAGATCACAGCCAGCAATAACTGAAGCTATTTTCCATTATTCCTGTTTGCTTTTCTGAGAGCCAGCTAAATCAAACCTGTATATTTACACAAGGAGCAGCCCAATAAGCAGTTCATGTGCAGTATTCAGTATCTGTGTAGCAGCTTAGAGCAGGGAAACAGGTGACAGTGTGTGAAGGTGATACAGACTTGGTAGAAGGTGAATTTTTGTCCCAGAAATCTTGTATCTTGGCAATGTTGCAGTTTGAAAGAGTGAGATGGCACACCAGGAATTATAACAAAAAAAATCAAGGGAACAAGAAGGAAAGCACATTTTCTGCTTCAGATGATGGCTCTTTTAGAATGAATAAAACTTCTAAAAAAGC